TATTATATATGTATTTTTAAAATTTTACGCACTAATTCATTCAGTACTAATTAATCACTCAGATATACATGTGTATATTTACATTCGATAGTCAATTTTACAAATGCAATTAATTTCTTCCTTTACAAATAAACGAACGAACAAACAAGTTAGCAAACAAGCAACAGTCACCATCGGTAAAAAAAAAACAACTTAAAAACTCACTCTTTGATTCATATAATCGAATAAATGCTGTTACTAAATAATTGTTATCCCCTCTCCGCCCGGTAGCAGCAGTTTCAACTACATTTGACATGACTTCCCTTAAAAAACAGAACGGTCGAGTTAAGCTGAAGGCGGGGGAGGGTTGATAGGGAGGGAGATCCAACTCGACTCGACTCGACTGAAGGAAGGTAGAGTAGATGAATGAAATGAAATGAAAAATAACAGAACAAGGCAAAAAAAACAACACACACAGAGAAAAGCACATCTGATTAATGCATGTTGATAGGAGAAATACCAGTTTACGATAGATTATCCCCACACTGTTTTCTTTTTCGCTTGTATGTAATGAAAGCGAATATGGAAAAGAAAATCTGTATTACTGTTTGTTCCACTGAAACAAAGAGACATTAACTGTTTAATTTGTCTATAAAAATGAAAATCTTTTTTTTTGTTTTAATTCATTTCCTGTAATATATATATATAATGCTTTGAAGCATGAATGAGAATCTGTTTCCGGTTGAATTTATTTCATATATACATATAAATATATCTTTACATATAAATATATCTTTACATATATATATATATATAATATTTTCATAATGACACTAAACGGTGATTTCGACAAGTGATTAAGGAAGGAGAAAGAATAACTAATGGCTTAATGTAGCATTTAACTGATCAACTTTCAGAGTAACTTGAATAAATGATAAGTGACTGGAGGTGGCTCTCCTAGTGACTGGCTGGCTGGCTGGCTAGTTGGCCAACAGGATCACCTTGCAACTTAAAAGTTCAAGGTTCAATCTTTGGCTGGAGTCATAAGTGCATACTGCTGATGAGTTCCAAACTAGGACAAAACAAGTATCTAGCATCGTTTGGTTTTCAATGGTTCTCTTGATAAGACTGTTAATACACTTCCTACCTACTCATTTCGCCAGCCTACTGTTCTAATCACTATTAGCAACAACAACGACACGATACGATACGATGCCCCCGAACCCGTGATACAAGAAGATAAGAAAACAGACCGTTTATGTAGAGAAATTTCCTGTCTCGTATGTATATATATATATATATAATTGAATTTCAGATTTTCCCGTCGACTGATTGGACCGAAGTGCTTGGTCTCAGGTTGACATGTCAATAGTGGATAAAGCTTTGGCGTTTGAAACTATGGGCACTGGGCTCGAGCCTCGGTGGAAACATCATCACTCATTGGGGAATGCAGGTACACCCACTGACGAGTTCCAAATAGGATGAAATGCGCATCCTGGATTCCACTGCTAGTCACCATCCACCAATTAAACTCTAATTATACATATATATACTCTAAATGACCTTGAGGTTCTGTGTACTTCTGAATGCCAAAAATATTTAGATACAAGGGATTAGCAGATTTGTAGTCACACACACACATCAGGAAAGGTTGTTTCCTGTCTCAAGAAATTGTCTGAACTGATGTTTTGACATGTCTTAAACGCTTCAAAATCATAATTTAGTCTTCAGGCTAATCGGCAATACATAGAAATATACATGCTCCTCAATAAAACTCTATAAAGTCAAGTGGTGTTTCATTTTAAGAACCTAGTCGTATGTGGAGCGCTTTGTCTTGATATTGTGTAAGTGGTGTTCTCCGTTTGAGGTGGTTGATTCAGTTAGAAGCTTTCGTCCCCCCTCTTCTAGACAGCATCTACAGCTCAGGTTTCAGTATAAAATGAACTCATTGAAAATCTCCGAGAATGATGTCATTTTATCTCATTGTCTGTTAATTTGCGTCCCTATTGACCATTTCCATCGAATTGGAATTCGAACTTTCTTGTCATGTGATTTACTTTTTATTAGCTGTTAAATTTGGTCTATAGTAAGTAGTGTGTTTGTTAATCGCTGGGTGATTCAATTTAGTACCAGGCTTCTAGAAATTCCCTGACTGCACTTTCGATGTTTTCTATATTTAAAATTTCTACATTATCCCAATCATGTAATTGATTTCCGTAATTATCTACATGCATTGATTTGAAAGAATATATATCATGTCCTTTTACAGCCAATTTGTGTTCTTGTATTCGGATTCGAAGAGGATACCCGCTTTCACCGATGTAGTGTTTATTACGGTTCATACATGCTATTTATTTTGTAAATGGTACTAGTTATACCTACTAGAGAATGGGTATCCTCCAAGATTTATTGACAGAAACATGAAGGAGAAGCCCCCGGTGTCAAACATCGCAACGGTTCCTAAGAAGACTCTCTTCATGAACCTAGAATTCAAAGGTGATGTCGTAGCGGAAATTCTCAGAAACCGCCTTTCTAAATGTCTGAAGAAGACATTTCCAACAGCCACTCTACGTATCACATTCTCCTGTAGACAGTTAATCCAGTCTAACGCTAAGGACAAGATACCGCTTTTGGCCACCTCAATGTGTATTTATCAATTTACTTGCTCGTGTGGAGCAAAGTATATTGGCCGTACGCAACGTCAAGTCCAAAAACGTATTCTGGAACACTGCCCAGCTTGGTTGGCCAGAGGAGAAAAGAAGAATAGCAACAGCTCGATCCTCGAACACCTTGTCATCTCTGGACATCGAGCACCCCCACATGAATGCTTCACAGTGTTACACAGAGTCCTTCAATATGATATAAAGGGACTTGGGATTCGCCATCTGTACATAGCTGAAGCATTAGCTATTCGAGATCTGAAACCGGACCTCTGCATACAAAAGCGATACATACATTCTCTTGCCTTACCATGGCCAGAGTAAAGTTCTTATCACAATTTTGCTTCTTTCCTTTATTTATTTTTTTATTTTTTATTTTTGATTACAGCTTGATGCCACACCGTATTTTCAGTACAAGTATGGCATTTTTCAGCATGGATATCGGTAACCCAAATTTCGCAGGCCGACCATAGATATCGGGTGTGCGTCGGTAGGGGATCGAACCCTGGACCATGTGCATGGTCGGCGAGAGTCCTAACCACTGTGCCACCGACGCACTATTATTACTATTATTATTTTATTTTATTAATACTTTTATTATCATTATTGTCCCCATCATCCATATTTTATTACCACTCTATTACTGTTTATTAATAACATTGCTTTTCATACATATTTTATACAAAAACACTTTATAGCCTTTCCACTAGTTCCTGTCCATTTTACACGAGATTATTGATTATTCACTATCTCACACTTATTACGTCATGCCAACTTCTGTCTCCTTTCTAACTTACAATTAGTTATCCCTTCTTACACCTTACATTATATAATACAATTTTCTAAGGACAAAATTTACCAGTATCTGATTGGTCTAAAGATTTCTTTGTTAATTATAATTACGATTGTACAGCTCATGAAAATGAATCGTCGAAAAGAAAATTTTCTTCGCTGTTTGTGCCTTTTCTTCTTTTTCTGTTGGGTCTTTCGGTTTGCACAATATCGAATGAAGCGATTGGACTGGCTTGTGTGCTATATCTATTTCAAACGGTTTCAATATTCTAGCTGTTATTTCAGAGATATTTTTTTATATATGGTGGAATGAATTTTCTTGTGGTCTCTGATGATGGTTTCTTGTTGGTGTCATGACTCGATTTTAAACACTTTCTGATGAAATTGTGAGGGGGATATCCATTCTTTTTGAAGACAGTTAGTAGGTATTTTTCCTCCATTCTCTTCAACACAGAAGCGCTACAGTGTGTTTGAACTCTTTTAAACAATGTCTGCACACAGTTTCTTTTGTGGGTCATTGGGTTATTGCTATTATAGTTGAGTATTTGGTCTGTGTACGTTGATTTTCTACATACTTGTGTTTCTAAATTTCCTATATTATTGATAGACATCTAAGAGTGGAATTTCGTCCTCTAATTCTTCTTATCTTGTGAATTTAGCAATTAACAAACACATTACCTCTATAGACCAAATTTACCAACTAATAAAGCGTAAATCACACGATAAGAAAGTTCAAATTCCGAGTGAATTAAACTGATCAATAGAGACGTGAATTAACAAACAACGAGTCACGACAATGGTTGTCAGCAGGGAGATACAATTTCATCGTCATTTCATGGAGAATTTCAATGAGTTCATTTCATACTGAAACCTGCGCTGTAGATGTTGTCTAGAAGAGAGGGTGGGGGACGACGAAGGCTTCTCAATTAAATCAACCAGCTCAATAACATAACTTTGTCTACCAAACTAGACATAATTTTTTTTTATTCCTTTACGTTCCCAGTGGACCATAGGGGGCTTCAAGCTACAGCTCTGAAGTTCCCGTAGCAGTGGTGTTTATTTTCACGGGATGGGGTTGCTAGTCTCATGCCCAACCTTCCCTCTTTACCAGTCTTATTACTGGCTTAGCGAGATAAAGGAGTGCGTCCAGTGGCCGGGGATCGAACCCCGGACCACGTTAGGCGTGGTCGGTGAGCATTCTACCGCTGTGTCACCGAAGCATATATATTAGCTCCTTATGAAGAATCTCCCCTAATCCCCACATATCACAGCCCAGTGTCATAATGTTTCATAGTGTTCAACGAACTTTCTAACGACATAAACAGTGCCGCATTAATGAGAGTTACAAAAAGCATTCAGAAAGTGACCTCATTAAAACAAAACAAGCAAATAAAAAAATCGAATGTCTTTATTATCACATTACACGTTGTCTATATATATTATGTGCGTTATCCAACGTTTTGCAGTAGGATATTCCATGTCTCTAGAACCTTCTTTTTACATTATTTCATCATGATATCACCTGTTCACCTTTGATCACTTTTTTTCACCACCACCCCCCCCCATCTATTAATCAATCACATCTGCAACTGACCAAATTTTCGAGATGTTCATTTGAAGATTTCTATCTGAAGCATTTTTAGCTGATGTAGGCGAAGAAGACAATGAAGATGCTGTAGAGCAAGGAATAGCGCCATCATCATCATCGTCAGTTGGTCTGTTGGCAGGAATTCGTGGAGTATCTTGGCTGTTACTCTTATCATCCAACAAAATATGCTCATCATTATCCCTTATTTCATCACTGACATGAATTCGAGTTTCGTCATCATCAGCCTCATCAGCTGGACTGTCGACATTGTGATTGTTAGATGTTCCTTTAACAGATACATGACCTAGGACAGGGATAATCTCAGTAAAATTGGAATTAATCGATAAAATGTTGGAAGTTCTTTTTAAATTATCGTTAAACTGTGATGAATACAGCTCTTGTGGTTGTTGTTGTTTATTGTTACGTAATAACTGATCCAAAATTAATTGCCTTCTTAACAGAGATGTATTGTCTTCATGTGATTGATATATGCTACTGGAGTTAATTTGATTCGTCAAAAAATCTGTCTGTGGTGTAGACTTGAATCTGGACAGGCTATTACTGTTATTACTGAATCTTTGAGAACTGTGATAGTCGTATCTACGGTTAATGCGACCACCACCATGCGTATTACTGCCATTCACTGAAGAATGTATAGATATTCTGTGGTGTCGAATTTTCGGTGCCCAAGTCATTTGATTCTCTTTTTTCAATCGTCTTCTTGCATTAGCAAACCATGTGGAGATTTGAGTCAGACTCATTTTAGTGGTCAAAGCGAGCATAACTTTTTCATTTTTTGTAGGATACGGGTTGTGTCTATGCTCATTTAACCATGATTTTAAAAAATTCGTGGTTTCACGAGTTGTAAACTTTTTTGGGAGGAAATTGTTCCCCTCTTTATGATTACTGCTGGTTAACAACCTGAAAATGAAGCAGAGATTGATTGTGTGTGTGTGAGATGAAAAGGATAGTTGAAAATACAAAATTACAAAATAGAAAACATGGGTTGGTGACAACAGAATACTGACTTAGATAAGGAATAATTGCTTTGCGAGAGGTACATAAGGCTTTATGCTATGAGGAGAGATTTAACAGAGGTTACCTCCTTCAATTATCTAGGAGGCATCGTTTCACTACAGGTGGAACGGATGAGGATGTCAAATTCAGAATCGGAAAGGCAAGATACGCCTTCATCAGTCTGAAACCAGTTTGCACTCAGGATAAGGATCAAGATCCGATTTTCAACACCAATGTCAGGTCGGTCCTTCTGTACTGGTCGGAAACTTGGCCAGCGTGTCACGAAAAGGATTTCCAACAGGTTACAGCAGACTTTCATCAACAGCTGCCCCCTTCGCTGGCTCCATACTGCATAACAAGCGGTCAGAAAGAATTAGCAACAAGAAACTCTGACGATGAACGAACCAACCAAGAGCCGATCGCTCAACAAATATGTGGGAGAAAACGGAGATGGATCGGGCATACACTGAGGAGACCATCGAATGACATCGTGTGCCAGGCCACCACTCGAGTGGAATCCGAATGGGAAGCAACGAGTGGGTCGTCAGTGAGGGGGCTGAGATGGAGGAAATCGTGTGTTGGGGAAGGGATGAGAGATTATGGGCTATCGTGGACCCAGCCGAAGAGCGTGGCAGAAAATGGAAGAAAGTGGAGTTGTGTTGTAGTTATTTTAGACGTGAAAACTTTTCTGATAGACTTCATTCAGCGTCAACACTACTGAGGACTAGACACATGGTATGACATAGGTTACACCCCAGTGACCAATCACTGTATAACCATCGTAGTTCTACAGGCGGTCAGTTATTACCTTAAATTACTCAGTGACAATGACTGCAGCTTCGCAGCTGGCTGGTATGGATACGTGAATGCTTCTTTCATGGGTGCAGATATGCTTTGCTAGCAAATGCAAATAGTCATGAAAACATGGTCCAAGGTATCCTGCCGCCTGCCTTCAACTATCCAACAATTTGGCCGTCCTAAGGTAACATGGAGGAGATCGTGTTAGGAAGAAATGGGAGATAATGGGCAATCGTGGACCTAGCCGAAGAGGATGGCAGAAAATAGAAGAAAGTGGAGATGTGTTGTTGAAGCCCTATGTTCCACTCGGAACCCAAGGGAACAATAATAATAACTTGAGGCTTTAGTAGCAGTGATATTCTCAAAGGACTAGGCGATTAACCTAATACCAAATCTTCTGTCTTTTCTTGGCTTACTATTTTATTATTTTATTTTTATTTTACTCCTTTGCGATCCCAGTGAACCCTGAGGTTTCAGTAGAAGTAGAGTTATTATTTTTTGCGGCCGGAGGGGGGGATTAACAGCCTCAGACCCAACCTTCTGTCTTTTCTGAGCTTACTACCAGTTAAGCAAGGTTTAGGAGTTCGTTGGCTGGGCATTGGACCCCGGACCAAGTGCGTGGTTGGAAAGTATTCTACTGTCGAACCACCGACGCACATACGTGTGATTATGCACAACACACACACAGAAGATTTTCTCTGTAAAGAATTATTATTCAAGAAATGCACTATCTATTAGTTATAGTAATACTTTTCGTGTATGTTTTAAGCCCTCAGGTGGTAAGGACTTGAGTGATTTTCAAGGTGGATCTCGTCATGTACCGAAATCAATTGGTGGACTGTTGGAAATCAAGGGTGCACTCGACGTCTGTTTCGTCCATTCCATATGTTTTGATCAGTGCAATTTCTTTGCAATCGAAATTAAAATTACTAAATTCGCCCGTAAACTAGGTTAATTTCGGAGAGCGTTGGGTGGTTGCTAAGCACTGAGCTGTTGAATCACTGAATTATTACAATCATAGAATTCAAAGGCTTTATATCAAAGTACTGTAAGAGAATTGTCACTAGATTAGATTTATGAGAAACAATTTTCAGGAATGTTTATTGTAAAGTCCTTTTGACAAAGACTACTGCAACGACGAGTCACCTAATTTGGGTCATAACAGGGTTGGTTGGTAGGATTCAGTCAGCAGTCAACACTTAGAACTAGACATATGACATCGGTTACTCCTTAGTAATCAACGAGTGTCTTCAGGAGGTCAACTATGCGCCTGAAAAGCTAAGTGAAAATATCCCTGAATGTAGCATTGAGTGATGGGAGTTTCGAACCTCCAATGAGATATCGGTTGCCTCAAGGATGCATGTGTTGCTTATTCTTTTTTGCACCCCTAATTAATGCTCAACTTGTTCTCCTGACTCTATAGTATTCTTGTAACCTTTTCATATATCTACCAGCAAGCTTACAGACACCTGGAGTGACTTTCTTTCAACTCCTTGTGCATTCAGTTGCGTAATAATAATGGTCACAATTAATCTGATGATGACATTAGATGGTTGGAGGCAATCGGCCACAGGAAGCCCTATCTCACCTAGGTTTCTTACTAGTTGGCACTCACCAGTCAGCAAGGCCTATCTTCTACCGCCTTCAAGGAATTCATGTCCCTCCTTCTGAAATTTGAACCCGCATCACCCAGTGCTGCAGTCGGAGAGAGACGTTACCACTGACAGCTAGCTATTCAGGCTCGCAATTGGCCACATTGCAAACCTGACTGATAGAATTCAGTCTGCACCAAAGATAAGACTAGATAAGACACATCACACTAGTTACTAGTGTCCAATCAAAATAATGGTTACCATCTGACTAAGTAACCAAAGTATCTCTTCTAGAGGATCTCACCAAACAGACGGAGCTCCAGCTAACAAAGATATTGAAGAAAATGAAAGACGAATCCATTATCAGTTCAAAACTATACGAACAACTGCGTCCATCTGGTTCTACAACGCCGCGCATGTGCGGCTTACCTAAAGTGCACAAACAAGACGTCCCACTCCGCCCAATACTAGATATGATAGATTCCCCATATCATACAATCGCGAAATGGCTGGTGGAGATTCTCGGGCCAGTGAAAGAGAAGCTGTCAAGACACATTCGACTTTGTTGATTCAATTAAGAATGTCAACGTAGCAGAAAAGAAAGTGGTCTCCTTGGATGTCGTCTCTCTCTTCACCAACGTTCCATTGACAGAAACCGTATGTTTCCTTTGTGACTACATTCAATCCAATAGCACTGATGTCGGTATACCGATCGATTACCTGAAAGAACTGTTACTACGATGCACCTTCAACGCATACTTTAGTTTCAACAAGGAAATATACAGGCAAGTAGATGGAGTAGCAATGGGTTCTCCCCTAGGACCCCTCCTAGCCGACTGCTTTATGGCTAGTTTAGAAAACAACCCCTTATCACTAACCAAAGTATGTGAACACTTTGTATGTTAATATTTAAGTTGTGTGGAGTTGATAAAACCCAATGGTCAAATAAAATGTCGTGATGTTATCCTGTTCAACTTCTTGTTCCTGCTCTATTAAAGTTCTTCAATGGAAATAATAAACAAAAAATTCTCCCCACTTATTATGTAACAACATTTAAGAATGTTGTACACCAGTGATCTTTTTAAAGGATAAGATCAGGAATAATCAGGTTTTTGATCTACTTCTGAATGAGTTTAAATTAATTAGCTGACGCTCTCACTCTACCACCCCCCACCCCCACCCCAATTAATCGATCATACAACATGACGAAGCATTGAATGTTATCAATGGGTATTATATGTATGAAACAAAGAACCTAGAAGAAAGGGAACAGAGATGAGAATCTAATAGCATTTCCTTTGCAAACACAAAATATTTATATCGCAATATAAGATTTGCTTCACATCATAAGTGAAAATCACATGATGAAATATAGTACTTGTCGATGTGAGTAGTAGAAAAATGCTTACATCAAACACTAGTGTCTCCTAACCAGATCAAATCCATGTAAATACTGAACAGGCCTATTAGATGGTTGGAGGCAATCGGCACGAAGCCTACCTGACCTAGGTTTCGTGCTAGTTGGCACTCACCAGTCAGCAAGGCGTATCTGCAACCTTGAAGGAACTCATGTCCCTTCTGAGATTCGAACCCGCCTCATCCAGTGCTGCAGTCAGAGACGTTACCACTGAGCTATTCGGACTCGCGGGTTCGAATCTCAGAAGGGACATGAGTTCCTTCAAGGTTGCAGATACGCCTTGCCGACGAGTGCCAACTAGCACGAAACCTAGGTCAGGTGAGGCTTCGTGCCGATTGCCTCCAACCATCTAATATCATCAAATCAATGTGCATCGTGATGGTGAGCTACCTAGAATGGTGGCCACATTGTAAACTTGACTGACAGAATTCAGTCTGCATCAAAGAAAGGACTAGACACATCACACTAGTTACAAGTGTCCAATCAAAATACTGAACAGGCCTTTTTGTTCGTTTGTAGGAGATCTTACTAGCTCAGACAGCCGAAAAGATTCAGACTGTCTGAATAATAATAATAATAGTTATATAATAGCCTGTATTACTTACGGTGTATTCTGATCCTCAGCTTCATTTTCTGTGATTGACTTGTCTCCGTCTTTGGCAGTAAGTTCACTCTATTAAAAGAAAGTAGAAGGCATTATTTTTAATGAGTGCCACAACTCCTTACGATAACAATAATAATAATCACAATAATGGCGGTTTTTTTATTTCAACATCTCTTCTTCAGGTGGGAAGTTGTGACCAGTAGAGTACGGCAGGTCGGTCGTGAGCACAAATACTTGCCAGTGATGATATTGGTCACGCCATATCGTGAGCTGGCAGGAGTTGGATTTCATGCACTGACTGTAAGTGGCTGAATGGCCTACTAGCTAGCTCACCTTGTAACTGGAAGGTTGTGGGTTCGAACCCTGTCAGTCGGATGCGCACGTACTGCTAAATAGTCCCAAACTAGGCTGACGAAATCTCTGGCTGTCTAGTACTGCCGTGCTGATTTTCCAATGGTTTCTAACCGATGTCAGCTAATGATGAAATCCTGTAGCCTCTTCATCTGTGATTATATTGATACACATAGTTTAGAAATAGGACTGCCGACCATCTACCTCAAAGAGCTTTTATTGAGATGTACGTTGAATGTTCAGTTCACCTTCAATAATGAGATCTTTAGACGGAGAGACGGCATTGCCATGGGATCACCACTGGGTCCCTTGTTGGCTGATTGTTTTATGGCTAAGCTTGAAAATTCTCAACTTAGTCAAACCATCGGTCATTTTGACATTTATAAACGATACGTAGACGACACTTTCGTTATCTGCGATAAAAATGTAATCCTTGATGATGTCCTGTCTACTTTCAACAACTGCCATCCTTCCTTACAATTCACCGTAGAAAAGGAATCTGAACTAAGTATCCCCTTTCTTGATGTGTGCCTTAGTAGACGTGATGACGGATCTCTCAAAAGATCTATCCACCGGAAACGTACATGGAACGGACAACTAACTAATTTTTACAGTTGGGTGCCTATCTCCAGGAAAAGGAACTTAATTCATTCGCTTTGCTATAGGATAAGGAAAATTTGTAGTTCTGATTCCGTTGACTCGGAACTTGATTTCTTAAAAGCCACGCTGGCAGAAAATGGTTACCCTAACCGATTTATTGACAGCAACATTAAAGAAAAGCAGTCTAAATTGGTTACCGACACAGTTTCAAAGAAAACCTTATTCATGAACTTGGAATTTAAAGGTGATCAAGATTCAGATATGCTCAAAAATCGTCTCTCCAAATCAGTCAGTAAGACGTTCTATGCAGCAAAATTACATATGACATTCACTAGCCGCAAGTTGTTCTCTACCTCTATAAAAGATAAGCTACCCCGTCTGGCCGCCTCCATGTGCATCTATCAGTTCACCTGCTCTTGTGGCCGTAGTCAGAGGACGCTTTCAACACGAATACGAGGACATATTCCAGCTTGGTTTTATACGGGAGAAAGGAAGTGTGTGAGAAGCTCTATTTTGGAACACCTGGTCGACTTCTGTCACTCTGTTAACCCTGACCATGATTTTAAGATCATATATAAAATCCATGCCAACTTCCCGCGTTCTATTCGTTACAGACTTCTAAAGACAGCTGAGGCCTTGGCAATTCATGACTTTAAGCCAGACCTTTGTGTACAAAAGAAATATGTACAATCCCTACTTCTGCCTTGGCCGTAGAGGGATAGATATTTATTTATTTTGTTTATTTAGTTATTCTATGTACTCTTCCCTTATTACTATTATTATTATTATCATTATTATTACTATTCTCACTCTGAATCTTTTTCACTTGACCCACTTGACATTTTAAACCTAAAATTATAAATTTTTATATTTTTATATTTTTTACAATATTGAATTCTGTCTTATCAAATTTCATACCATGTTATGTAACATTTTATATTCGTCTACTAATCTTATAATTATGTACCCTTTCCCAAAATCTATACACCTTATGTATTTTTCTATATACGACATTAATTATTGTGCCAATTGACATTAAACTATGATTATAATCACAAATATTTTAATTGCATTTCATACTACTATTATTATTTCATGTATTCACACCTCTGACCTAATTCCCTCACCGGATATAATTTCTTTAAAAAAACCATATATATACGATTGTACAGCTTGATAATAAATTCGTTGAAAAGAGTCTCTTCGCTGAATATTGTGCTCTTAATATATATATATATATATATTTATATATATATATATATATAATAAACATAGTTCCGAACAATAGTGATCATACACAATGGAAACTTTCGACATTACGTAAGCGGACCAAAGAGAGGTGAAAATATCCAGTTACCAGGGCAAAGAAAGACTGATAACTGCTTCATAGTGAACGCATAAATCAGTTTCCAGGTGCTTGATGGAGATGGCTTTTCAAACCTGAGGAGAATTGAACTCTTTTGCTTATTGATAATTTTGAACTGACATCCACGGTACACTCAATAGGCAAAAGAGTTCAATTCTCCTCAAGTTTGCTGAAGCCATCTCCATCAAGCGACTGCAACCTGATTTATGCATTCACAAAGAAGCAGTTATCAGTCTTTCCTTGCCCTGCCCTGGTAAATGGATATTTTCACCTCTCTTGCATCTGATTACGTAAAGTTGAAAGTTTCCATTGTGTATGATCATTAGTGTTTGGGTTAAAGTGATTATTATTATTATTATACATATTAGTACTGTATGCATACATTGATTGATTGATTTTTGTTTAAAAATGAACTATGTGTGGGCAAGTATGTTAAAATTGTTTCTGTAGATATACTTAATAATGACTGGCATGTACGCAGCTGATGAGTAGTCAACGGAATAAATGATGGTACGATTTTACTCTGCAAAAGCTGTTGTTCTTGCTTTATTCAAATTCATTAGGAGGAATAAATGTATGAAATTGACAGTAATTAGAAAAAATTGGCTGCTGAACTTCGACTTGGTGACTGAAAAGTCAATGGAACCTGAAAGTTCTGAGTTCAAATTCCAGATGCTATCAAAGGCGCACACTGCTGAAGAGTCCTAAACTATGATGAAACAGTGTCTAAAGCCCCCATAGTTTTCAATGATTTTCTAACTGGTGTCAGTTCTTTACAAACTATTGCGTTCCGAGTGGGAGATAGGGCTTCGGTGGCACATCTTCAATGCACTCTGTTATTTTTCAATATCACTGATATATAAATAGTAAAAGGTGTCGGCTAAAAAAGATCATAGATGAAAGGCAACAAATCATCTTTGATACCAAGCATTTCTAAATTTTATTTAGGTCGACGTTGTGAGTAATACCAACTTTTACACTGAAATGTCTGTACATCTCCTGGTAATGGTGCTAGTCTAGGTGTTATATTTACTGAAGTTACACAAAACGGGATAACCTAGAAATACTTTATCTCCTTTCATCAGACATTTATCTCTTTTAACTTCTGATCTATCCACAAGACCTAGCAGTTGTCCAATCAATCTTGTACGAGGTCATAAATGAGAAACACTTCTGGAAAACATCTTATCATAGTCAGCTTCTCTGGTCGATATAAAAAAACTAGATGGAGAACATATTGATTTACTTTAAACAAGCTTAGAATTTGAATGGCTCTTCTTTACTTTTCAATACAATCATGATAGAGAATGTTTGTGCGTGCGGGGGAATCTTCTCGGTGTTATTGCGTTTCCAAAGCTGGACGGTATAACCATAAGCACAACCTTCATTACTCATGTAGACAACATCTCCAGTGCTAAACTCAACAAAGTGAGGACTTTTATTAAAGGATAATGTCTAGAAGGATAATGAAGGCTTCGTAATTCAACACAACAACACTAAGAACTGCAACATTTGTGTCAGTTTTCAATCAGTTTGTGCAAAGATAAGCCTAATTGTGGTGAGAGATGGTTGCTAGCCAAATTGGTTGACAGTAATTGAGGTCAATGTTAGTCATGTGAAAACAAGGTCAAGGTGGACAGGCGGTTACAGTTAACATATAGATGAACTGACACAGCCACAAGAGATGCAAGGTTAACTTTGTGTGAGAAACAACTAATCAACAGACTGTATTTTCTACTAACATTAATCTACAATAATGTACATCAAAATCTATAAATACGTGTTGATTTTCCGTAATAAACGTTCTGTGGCCTGGTCCTTGTCTTCTGTTGTTACATAATTATTAAACTAAGAGTATTTAATAGTATTTAACATGATAAGACTCAAGGTGGAGGTCTGAACAATAAATCCAAGTTAATTAGATTTCTCAAAGTAATTCCTAATACAAATATTTTCACCGGTGTTATTAATCAATACTTCAAGGTCGATTGTAACATTTGAAGTTTTTAAAGTTATAATTCTAGAAAATTTTATGGAGACAGATAACGGAGTGGACAGCTTTGAAGTCGTAGAAAGAGCCTGTGTTCTTCCACTCTTCCACTATGAAAAAAAGTATCAGATTAATGAAATATTTACGTTCAAATAAAAGAAGGGATCTTTAAATATTTCCATTACTAATATTAAAACAAGACATATAAGCGAACAATAGTGTTTTCATCATGAGCTGACATCGGTTAGAGAACCATTGGAAAACCAGGGAGTACTGGACAGCTGTTTCTACCCTAGTTTAGGACTCTTCATCAATACTCACCCACTGCCATAGTTCGAACCCAGGACCTTCTGGCTACAATGTGAGGTAGCTCATAGACCATTAGGCCACTCACTGGGACCGGGTCCGTTGACCAGCCCATGAATCCTAACTTCTGCCAATTCACGTACGATATAGCGTGACCACTTCGCGACGTCCTTTTCGATCAGTAACTGCCCTCACCTTCAACCTGCTGTACTCTACTGGTGTAAGCTACCCACTAGAACCCCAGTCGTTAGTGAGCGTCAGATCAATTTTCAAGTATTGGCAGAATTTAGAATTTATGGGATGGCCATTGGATCGAATCCCAGTGGCTTAATGATCTACGGGATATCTCGCCTTGTAACCGGAAGGTTGTGGGTTCAAACCCCGGTGTGTGCCTGCTGATGAAGAGTCCTAATCTAGGATGAAACATCTGTCCGGTACTCCAGTGCTGGTTTTCCAATGGTTCTCTAACCAATACCAGCTCATGATGAAATCTTCCAACCAACCAAACAAAATTGCTACAAACCAATACTTGAATAGTTTTTCCATTTAGATCTTCTTCGGGCTTTACTCTAATTTACATAGATTTATATAGAAAAATTTTAACAAATGACGGTTATTTTGTGGATCAAATAATAATGTGTTAAGTGTTTTCAACGTCAGTAATAACGATGATGATTATAATGATAAAATAATAATGAGGTTTATGCGGGTGGCGATGAGAAGAATACCGAAGGTAGTAATGTGTGCATTTGCAGACAATTCAATAAAAAATAAATGAGGTCAAACTGAAAAGTTACGTAATACTAAAGGTGAAGTGGGCAGATAATCAGAGTTTAAATAAATATTGTAAAAGTAAGAAGGAAATGGAAAATAAGAAAGCGTAGGAGGGTTTTAATTAGAACTTACGAGTTGATCACTCATTGATATCAGTTAGAGAACCATTGAAAACTAGGGAGTACTGGACAGCTGTTTCATCCTAGTTTGGGAATCATCGGCAGTAAGCATCCGTTGGGTTTCGAACCCAGGATCTTACGGTTACAAGGCAAGCTCGCATACCATTCAGCCACTAGTGACTTGTTACAGGATGGAGTTTCCTGGAGTTCTAGTAAGAAGTCGTGACCAGTGAGGTCCATCCAGTCAAGTGTATGAGGATAGATGTCCCACCGAAGACACACGTTCGGGTCACGCTAAATCAGGAATTGGTGAAAGTCAGAATTCATGCGGTGGCCATTGAAGAATCGGGTCCCAGTGGCTGAATGGTCTACGAGCTAGCTTGCCTTGTAACCGGAAGGTCTTGGGTTCGAACTATAGCCGTGGTTGCGTACTGCCAATGATTCCCAAACTAGGCTGATGAAACAGCCGTCCAGTACTACCTCTTAGTTTTCAATGGTTCGCTAACTGATATCAATCCGTGATCAACTTGTAAAAAGAAAACTAATCCTTAAAAACCAACTGCACAAAATTAGACTTTACCCACGCAAGGCAAGGGAAGTCGACAAAGGCAGAACAAACTTCTTTTGTTGTAAGCAAAGACACTAGGATTGTTCTCTCAAATTAATTCCATTACCTTCGGTTAATATTATTATTCGATCCACAAAATGGCCATCACTGGTTAAAATTTTTACACATAAACCTATGTAAATTAGAGTAAAGCCTGAAGAAGATCTAATTGAAAACAACAATATTTTTGTTCACCTTTAATGTCTTGTTCTAAAAAGTAAGGAATACTGAGGTAGGAATCAATCACAAGCAACGAATTTCTAACTCACATTATTTGAAACCACTTCGTTATCTTCACTGTCATCTACACAATGACTATTACTCGACTTTGCCTCTTTTGTAACAGTTCCAAATTGGTGAATTCTTACGTCTGAATCCATTACATTCATTGGAGGCGTAGCATTTGAATTAAGACAAAAGAATGGATATTGTTTAAATAAATTAAATTGAAAGGCGGATGATGACCAATTCGATGCAAATATACATGGATGTGGCAATGGCAGCCATGATTTCACAGCTTGTTGATTGATAAGGGAGTTGAAATTCATTTGATTAGCATTAGTTTTAAGCAGTACAGTAGATTGATCATCGTTCATTTCATTTTTCCCGCTAAAACTGTCATTCAATCGACCGCCTTTCACATTTGAATAATCCATTTACAATGTTAGTTAGATTTGATAAACCGTGTGTGTGTGTGAAAAAGTTTCAGTTGCCTAAAATTAGAAAGAAATATTAAATTATAAAAAAGGTATCAGAATTTGCATGTTTGAAGGGTATACGTGATTGAAAGCAGAGGATGCCTCCATTCTACCAAGAGTCTTAAAGTTAGATCATAATTTTGAAGTTTCAGTAGCGGCGCCGTTTTTGTCCTCGCGGAGTAGGGTTGTTAGCTTTACACATCCAAAACTTCTCTCTTTTCTGGGTAAACTAGGGGGAAGTTTCGGGGTGCGTTGTCCGGGGATCATATTTCGACCTTTTACGTGACTTGCTACTATTCTACCAGCGTAAATAAATCATCCTGGACCGACGTGAAGAACCTAGAAGACCTGGATTTCGCGGATGATTTATGTTTGATGTCACACAAAATCGAAGACTTACAAGCGAAAACCGACAAACTGGTCGAAGAAGCAGCCAGAGAAGACAGGACTCCAGGTGAACATAGACAAGACGGAGGTTATGAAAATAACCAACTAACAACAACAACAGCAGCAGCAACATCCACCGCCAATCACCATCAACGGGAGGGATTTGAAAGAGGTTACTTCATTCACTTATCTAGGGAGCATTGTCTCAACTACACTACAAGAGGAACGGACGAGGATGTCAAATCGAGAATCGGGAAGGCGGGAAACACATTCATCAACCTGAAACCAATCTGGAAATCTTCCGCTGTCACTCAGCCTGCATCAACAACAAAATGATTCGGATTTTCAATACAAACGTCAAGTCAGTTCCTCTCTATGTACGGATCAGAAACTTGGCGGGTCACAAAGAATATTTCCAACAGCCTGTTGCAGACCATTATCAACAACTGTCTTCGCTCTATACTGAAGATCAGATGGTCGGAAAGAATCACCAACAGGAAATTATGGGAACAAACAAAACAAGAACCAATCGCTCAACAAATATGCAGGAGAAAGTGGAGATGGATTGGACACTCGCTGAGGAAGCCGTTGGGTGACATCGCGCGTCAGGCCTCCGTGTGGAACCCGAGAGGGAAGCGGCGAGTGGGACGTCAGTGCAATGGTGACATGGAGGAGATCGTGTGAAGAGGAGTTGAAACAGCATGGACTAACATGGATGCAAGTGAAAAGCACAGGAGAATACAGAAGCAAGTGTAGGCGTGTAGTTGAAGCCCTATGTTCCACTAGGAACCCAAGGGAACAATAATAATAATAAATGAATCATTAAATCAACCATATCAGGGTCAAGATTGGATGCTTCTAAATCTCGTGAAGCATTGGCCGTGTAATCTGTTGACAATTCAACAAAGTAGCAGATATGTTAATCAAATATTGTGCCTAAAACTCCCCAACTTAATTTTTTGTCTAAGTGAAAGCTACTGAAGAGGCAAATATTGCTACGAAGTACATTACGAGTACCCAACACTTTTAAATGAACTTACCCATAAACCTGAATTACTCAATAGTAACGCCTCTAAGTGCAACACTGGGTGACAGCGGACATGAGTTCCCTCAAGATTACAGATACGCTTTGCTGACTGGTGAGTGCCAACTAGCATGAAACCTAGCTAAGGTAGGGCTTCCTGTGGCTGATTGCCTCCAACCATCTGATGTCAACAATTCAAAGTTCACCATGACGGCGAGTCACCCATCACCATGGTGATCACATTGCAAAAACTGGACTGATATAAATCACTCTTAGTGTCGCTGTAGGGAAGGGTCTTCTTTAAAGAGCTGGACATTCTCCTCTTTCAGATATCAGCTGCCAAATTTCCCCTGAAATTCAGCGCTGAATCGCATTCTTCTCTTTTTGGTTTAGGTTTCATGTTCTAGTCGACAAAAGGTGCCAGGTAACTATTTCGAGCCAAGATATTTTTGAGGAATAGGAGCTCGTCTTCCAAGCAATCACTGTTGCAGATTTTTCTAATGCGATGGGTTAGTGCGATAATGAGAGCTCGTTTTCGAATCAATGTGCATATACTAGTTCACCTGCTCGTGCGGAGCAAGGTACATAGGTCGTTGTATGCGCGTCCTTTCAAAACGTGATATAAATCAGTCTACACCAATTAAAGGATTAGACATATTACACTGGTTACTAACTAGTATCCAATCTAAGTATCTAGCACACTGTTACAGGAGGTGAATCTTGAGCCCGAACAACTCAGTGGTAAAATCTCTGACTTCAACACTGGGTGACGGGACATCAGACCTTACTAATCAGTACCAAAAAACCTTGAAACTTAGGGTCTAAGGCTTTCTTCTGTGATAACCTCCAAACATCTAACATTAAACATAATCTTAACTCAAAGAGCTGAAATGAGACAGCAAATAAGCAACATGAAATTACGTGATTAGGAAAAGGTGAGCAGAGGATGTCGGGTGGGGGGTAAGGAAACTCTTCTCATTATGCATAACAAACAATATGTATGTATTCTGAAAATATTTAGCCACCCAATTAGTTTAAAAGATGAGAAATTCATTTAAAATATTCCCACTTGACTAAATTAATTCTACCTACTAGCCATGAGTAACAAACAAAAGAAGAAAGAGGCGCGAACAAACACTTAGAGAACATAACCAATACACAACAGATAGTCAGCAGTGTGTTGTGTACAGACATCAGCTGTGATTTTCAACACAGCTGAAAGTCAATTTTTCTTTTAAAAAAATGCCAACGATAAACTATTTTTTTTCTATATCTTTGAGTACAAATACATATACTACTAATAATAATACCATGAATACAAAATCTCTGAAATATATATATATATATAGTTATCATTCTCAAAAACACCAACTTCCGCAAATGATGAGAAGAGAAACATCTGGAGTTGGTGGAAGAAACAAAAACTACTTACGCACACACACAATATACTCTGGTGGTTATTGTTTTCAATTATAGATTCGTATAAATCAATAAAAAGTGAGTCTTCCTTCAAAAAACTTGTTTTTCTTTTCGGCATGTCTACATAAACAGCGTGATATTAGTATTTTTCTTTTCTTCTTCATTCTGTTTGTTAAAAGCAAATCTTCTTTTTCAGTGTTTTAGTTGTTTTTTCTCGTTGTTTTAATGAGGTGAATATAACAAGCGAGGGAAGTTTAAATGAAGTAAGATTACACTTTAGTAAAATCATGAGATCCCATAATTACTAAAGAGAAGAATTACAGTAAATATTAAAACTTGAGGTGGACATCAAAAAATTTTTCAAAGTTGGATGGGAATAAGTGTCTAAGTGTGTGTCAGTAAGAATTTGTTACCCCATAATAAGAAGAGGGAACGCTGTCGACGTAATACAACAGTGAATGAACCTGAATCAGCTTGAGGCAACTGCTTTTCTATTATCATTATTATTATTATTTTCAAGTATTGGTTTTGTAGGGATTTTGTTCGTATGTTGGGAATTGGCAGAAGTAAGAATTCAAGAACCATTGGACTGGGTCCCAGTGGGTCAATGGTCTGCGAGCTCGGCTTGTAACCAGAAGGTCCTGGGTTCGAACCTCGATAGGTGCTATTGCTGAAGGGTCCCAAACTAGGACGAAGCAGCTGTCCAACACTCCCAGGTTTTCCAGTGGTCCTCTGACTTGTGTCAGCTCATGATTAAATCCTCCATATTATTATTATCCCTGAGAGAGAGGGAAACACGTGATTCAGTGAAGAAACTGTCTTCGGCTATTTCACCGACTACAGCTGTACAGCCGCAATTATACACAATTTTCAAGAGTTGGCTTGTAGGGATATGATTTGTTTTTCAAGTTTGACCACGGATTGATATCATTTAGAGGCACGTAGAAAACTACCAGGGAGTACTTACTGGACAGACAGCTGCTTCGTCAGCCTATTTTGGGACTCATCATCAGTACGCACCCACTGGTTTTCAAACCCTCGACCTTCCGGTTACAAGGCAAGCTCAGCCACTGGGACCCAACTAAATGGCCTGCCCATGAATTCTAACTTCTACTAATTCATGATTTTAGAGCTGCTGGCACCAAAAAGTGTCACTGTTGGCGGGTATTTGTTCAACTCTTGAAAATTAATCTGATGCTCGCTAGTGATTTGCTACAGGACGGAGTTTCCTGGAGTTCTGTTGAGAAGTCATAACCAGTGAGGTAAATTAGGTCGGGAGTGAGCATGAATACTTCCCAACGATGACATTGACTGATGCCAGTCGCGTGAAAATTACGAATTAGTAGAAGTTAGAATTCATGGGCAGGCCATTTAGTCGGGTCCCAGTGGCTGAAAGATATATGAATTCGCCCATTAAGCGGAAGGTCTATGGTTTGAAAGCCAGTTGGTTCGTACAGCTGAAGAGTTAGCGAGAATTCAGGCTGACGAAACAGCTGTTCAGCACTTCCTGGTGGCATACAGTGGTTCTCTAACTGACATCCATCCTTGGTCAAATCGGAAAATCTAAATGCAGGCTTTTTTATAAATTTGTACTTAAAATTTTGATTTTATTTTTTTGATTACAGCTCGATTCCACACCGTATTTTTGGTACAAGTATGGAATTTTTAGCATGTGATATCGGTAGCCCAAATTTTTCAGACCGACCCTTGACATCAGGTGTGCGTCGGCAGGGGATCAAACCCCGGACCATGTGCATGGTCAGCGAGAGTCCTAACCACTGTACCACCGACGCATATAAGGGCGGCCTACTACTCGGCCAGTCACAAGCAGGATAAATGCATACTAACTGGTAGAATAAATGTAGATATGTTAAAATTAGTGGGTGTTAGTCAAAATACATAATGGAGGTATAATGGCTTCTCTGTTTCAATGACTATAGCTTATACAAAAAAGAGGAGGCAGCCACTTAACAATTTCGTTAGGTTATATATCGCCTTACAAAATGGAAAGCTTCGAAGAAAGAGATTATAGAGATGTATAATGTAAAGTGTTGACTTGAGGTGCAGTTATTCCGCTTATTGCCCTTCCACCTCTTTGCAACCATTCAGCTTAGTATTATTACATCCT